TCTTAAGTTGAATCTGTATGCAAGTCAGAACTGGCGTCCAGATTCAGCCGCGGTTGAAACTGATCAGTTTCAGCAGCGGCTGACGCCAGTTCCGACTTATATACAGATTCAACTTAAGAACAAACCTACAGTCCCTATCTTGTACGTAACCCGGGGACTGCCTGTAACCAAATGCTCTTATCTTGACTAAGGCTACTCTACCCTAACATTAGCAAGAAACACAACTTTCTAAAAGTATGTAAACTTCAAGCAGAGGGAAGACCTCTTCAAAATGGTACAAGAGTGTAAGAATAATAAAATTAAACTGTCTTGTACGTAACCCGGGGACTGCCTGTAACCAAATGCTCTTATCTTGACTAAGGCTACTCTACCCTAACATTAGCAAGAAACACAACTTTCTAAAAGTATGTAAACTTCAAGCAGAGGGAAGACCTCAACAAAATGGTACAAGAGTGTAAGAATCATAAAATTAAACTGAACAAAGGAAAAGTTAGGATGAATATAAAAAGTAAGAGTTAAATTGGATGTGTTACATTTTCTATTATACTGTGGCAAATGAAGGGAAGCAGTGAAAACCTCAGCAGCTGGGACATTTAAGGTACATCAAGACAGCGGCGCTATTTCAGGATACATCCGGTATCCCGAAATAGCATTTCCCGCCTCTTAGCAACAAGCGCATTGCTTTGAAATATATTCAAAATAATGGGCTTGCTATTCCGACATCCCAGGAAACCTCATTCCATGAGGATTAAGGGACTTGTCGGAATAGTCTCTCTCAAAACAAGCTACACAAATTGTGTGGCTTATTTCGAGCTACATGGCGCTGTATAGACGTACCCAAACAAATGAATGGCAAGGAAAAAGAAGCCCATTAGGAAACAATCACTCACTAGCCATGAGCATGAGGCAGTGAGATATACAAGCTACTTTAACAGGCCTTTTTCATCTCCAACGACGACAAATTTGCCAACTAGGAATCTGTGTGCCATTCCAACAGCTACAGGTCATATAACTTGCCATTCTTACCACCATCAGAACATAAGATTCCCTATCATGTCACATCTGGGATCAGAGTGAGCCTTTACTAAGGAATAAGCAAGAGGAAACGGAGGTGGCAGTCCAAAAATAGCAAACCTCTGGAGGAGCCTCTGAAAGCTGCAACCTAGGAGTCATACTTACCACTGCTTGCCACAGCTCCCATTGGCAGGGAATAGTAAACCATGGCTACTAGGAGCTGCAGGGGGGCAGTGCCTTCGGATGGATGGTCAACATCAGCAAAATGTCTCGTGACCCCCAATCAGATGACCCCTGATGGGCGGCATGTGGCCTACAAGCCCTCCACTGCTAATGCAAATTATTAACAGCCCCATATGGGAAAGCAGGAAGTTTGGTTCATTCAAGCAATTGGTCCTATGGCCCTCATTCATCTCAAACTGAAATGCCATCATGAGGTTCCAAGTCAGTGTTCTTCAACAGCCTCCAACAGGGGCAAATGAGAACATATTCCGTTCTTCTTCCTCAGCGAGATCAAGGGGGATTGAGTTAGGTTACTGCTCGTCTGCTTTGACAGCTCTATTGCTAGGCAACACAAAAGTCTATTATGACACTGCAGCCAATGCAGCATGAGTGCATGAAGCCACCGGGAAAGCTACTCAGGCAATTCAGACTACAAACTTACAAGTACTTGGACTACACTCAGTCCTGTATTTTGTTTTCAACTGATCTTGATAGTGAGGGGCCCAGGGGCTTTGCTCTGGAATTTGCTTATCTCATTATCCCTACAAAACCAGAATTTGCTCACCTTCAAAGCACATTTCAAGAAATTTGCCAAGTAAAGGCCTGTCTATTCCCTCAGGATTTGACAAAAGAACAATTCATTCTTGGTTAGTAAGGAGAAGTAAAAGGAGTTCTGTTTGAGCCAACTCTTGTCTGTTCGTGTTCTCGCTCTTGCTCTGTCTTATATAATATAGTTGTGCTAGTTTAAAAAACTACTCAATATGGCCCCAAAGATACAACACTAAAACAGAAATAAGATGAAACCATACCATTTAAGTCTGCATTTTCAAATCTGACCCAGACTATTTTTTCTTTTTCTTCTGTTGGTGGACTACCACTGTAGGCCTACACAAAAAAAGATAGAAAGAAATAAAAGGATAACGTTTATTTTACACTCTGTATATAGTACATCAGAAAACACAAAGAAAACAAGAACTGTTTGTGACGTAGTTGGGGACAGGATTCACTCTGTTTTCTTCATTGTGTTGTATGTGATTCTACTGTCCTGTGCTGTTCGGTAGTAACTCTGTGTGTACATGCGTGCCTCAGTTTCCTTGGGCACTGCAACACTATCTGGGAAGAGGGAAAGGCTGAGAATGACTCACTGTGGATGTATTTTCTGTCTCTCATGACCTGAGGACCAGATGACAGCGGATGATAGCTTGGGCCCAGGAAACTGAACAAAGGAGCAGGTGGGGCTGCCTAGAGGGCTAGGACCAGTTGCCGGAGGTGTGAGTTTAGTTTTCCAGCTGGCTTAGGGAGGAAGGAGTCTAGCAGGCCTGGGGAGCTGAGCCCTCCATCCCCAAGATGGATTGTACTGACTGCTCCTGGTTCCTGTAACAAGTCTGTGCTACACTGCGTCCCTGTCCACGAATAAACCTTCCGTTCTACTTGCTGGCTGAGTCACATCTGGCTGTTGATGGGGGTGCAGAACCCAGTGACTCCCACATTCCCAGTGACACTGTTGCATATATCTTACAATCTCAGTATTTCTGGGAGGTTTTCAGTTTCCCTGGTAAACACATTCAAATCTTTAAGGCCTGGCCTATACTAGACCAAACAAGTCATCTTAGGGTACACAACTTTAGCTACACAAAATGCATAGCTGAAGTTGGCTTACCTTAAGTTCAGCCATGTCAGCATCCACACAGCAGGAGGCTGACAGGAACACAAGCTCCCACTGGCTTCCCTTCCTCTTCGCAGCATGGGGAGTACTGGACGCCAGTGGGGGCTGCCCTCAGCATTCGATTTAGGCTTTTATATTATATGAGACCTACTAAATCGAATGCTAGAAGATCTGGAGCGTTAATCTTTTCACAAGTATAGACAGGCCCTAATAGTGTAACTGCTAAACAAAGCATAAGTGGCAAGACATACACAACCACAGACTTTCTGGGTACAGGGCATAAAAGCCAACTGGCTCCTAAGAAATATAAATCTACTATTAAATTAGTCAGAACAGAAGACAGTTGTTTTATAATCCTTGATTTTGCCAGCTTATTCTACTTAAAAACAGTTTAAATAGAGAATTTTTAGAGAGAGGAATGTTTATTCTTTTAATTCCTTTTTTACCCCTTAAAAACTTTGAGTAAGGCTGGAAAAAAAAAATCAAAGCTTTTCTTTCCTATGAAGCTCATTCCTATTGCAATATTTTAATAACACACACAATGATTTTAATACAGCCAGCATATTTAAGTTTGAAAGAGAATGCACTGTAACTCAAACAAAGCAGATCTATACTTTAGTTAGCTTTATTCTACGGATTCCTCTAAAGAGATGAGATACAAAGAGAAATTGGAATGAAGCTTTTTGATGTTTCTAGACACCCTAAATTTAACAGTTCTCAGGAGAAACTGCAGTAATCAGAATATGAGTCACATAAGAACAGCCATACTGGGACAGACCAAAGATCCATCTAGCCCAATAATCCTGTCTGCCGACAGTGGCCAATACCAGAGGAAGGGAACACAACAGGTAATCCTCACATGATCCCTCTCCTGTCATCCTGTCGCAGTGGGAATGCCATCGTTTCTAACTGAATTATTTCAAGATACTCTGCAGTACTTTGGATTAAGTATGAAAAGAACTTGTATAATCATTGTGTGCATGTTGGACAAGGAATAATATGCACACCAGGGGCTCGTCTACACTGGCCCCTTTTCCGGAAGGGGCATGTAAATTTCACCAGTCGTCGTAGGGAAATCCGCGGGGGATTTAAATATCCCCCGCGGCATTTAAATAAAAATGTCCGCCGCTTTTTTCCGGCTTTTAAAAAAGCCGGAAAAGAACGTCTAGACTGGCCCCGATCCTCCGGAAAAAGTGCCCTTTTCCGGAGGCTCTTATTCTTACTTCAAAGTAAGAATAAGAGCCTCCGGAAAAGGGCACTTTTTCCGGAGGATCGGGGCCAGTGTAGACGCTCTTTTCCGGCTTTTTTAAAAGCCGGAAAAAAGCGGCGGACATTTTTATTTAAATGCCGCGGGGGATATTTAAATCCCCCGCGCATTTCCCTACTACGACTCATGAAATTTACATGCCCCTTCCGGAAAAGGGGCCAGTGTAGACGAACCCATAATTTATAGTGCAGTTTAAGTTTAAGGGAGAAAAATGTAGTGTATGTTTAAAGAGAAACTGACTAGCAATACCAGACGGTGAAAATACAATCAAACATTCTTTTCAGTGGCACTATTTAACTGTTCCGTCAAGAGACCAAAGAATAATCATGGGTATAGTTGGTGGAACATCCTCTTATCAGTGTTGTTGATTCTCTGGAGCATTGACATTTTAGCTGATGACTTTTGTTGCATTCTATCGGAGCAAATAAAAACAAACCCGAAGCAAGAAGCAAAGGTGTCAAGATCTATTATATAGTGTGACAAATTCAGCATGCAGGTGAGATAGAGCTAATCAGCAATAGAAATGAAATCAGTGTAAGAGATGGGTCAGGAAGAGGTTTTCCTATCTAATGAAAATGTTTGAAATTTCAAAGATTTTTCCATGGCATATCAGGATTAACTCAACACCTTTCAAAATATTTAATTAAAAATAGAAAGAAAGAGGCCCTAGAATACTCAGCTGGGATGTGGGAGAACAAGGTTTAACTTGTTGCTCTAAATCAGGCAGACGTGGGTTTGTACATCCCGAGGGCATGTCTACACAGCAAAGTTATTTCGAAATAACAGCCCTTATTTCAAAATAACTTTCCTAGCATCTACACAGCCAAACCGCTATTTCAAAATAAGTGCTGTGTAGACACTTTGGTTCATACAGGAACACCGCGGGCTGGGAACGAGCGGAAAGTGCACCGTTTGCTGCATTCTTCACTCTGGCTGGTATCTGCAGGTGGCGGATAAACCTGGACCTGCCCCAGCTATACCCACTGGAACTGAAGTGACCACTGAGTGGTACTTCTCACCTCGCCCCAAGCTGCTACAGTGAGAGGGCTAGGGCAGTCCTTTCTCCCCAGGGCTATCTGTGTACTGAACCATTCATCCTCAGCCCCACCCCAGAGCAATGATTTAAATGAAGAAAAACAAAAATTACTGGGTAAATCTTCTAGTAATTAACTAAAATCAACTTCCAGCTAAGAATCAGCACAACGTTCCTACACTGCAGGGCTCGACAAATAATATAATCTACTCGCCACGGGCAAGTAGATTGTAACCCGGAAGAGCCGGGTTCGGGCGATCTGTGCATGTGCAGAATAATCTGCGCATGCGCAGATCGCCGGACAGCGCAGCTGGCGAGGGGGGGCTCATTGCGTTTCAGCGAGTCCTGCTAATCTGAGTGTACATGTGAACAGTCACAGTTATGCTGCTACTGTACACAGCTTTCCCAAATACCAGGAGCATGAAATGAACCACACTCTGATCAGTTTCTGCCTGCTATTTATGACCTCCTGGCAGCAGTGAAGTAACCACGGCCTTAATACATTTCCCAGTTATTTGGTAAAACTAGAAGCAACAAAGCTCAAAAGGGCCAGGACTATCCTTAGGGGGAAAAGACTTAAGAAATGGAGCATGGGAGGAAAAAGAAGAGCGGCAGATTCATATGTTCCTCCCCCTTCACACCTCAAAGGCATCTGATTTTCCAACAGTACACACTTTCTGAAACCAAGGCCCTTTTAGGGTACGTCTACACAGCACGCTAATTTCAAAATAAGCTATTTCGGATTTTTTTTTCAGAAATAGCTTATTTTGAAATAGTACGTGTACACTACAGGGAAGCCTCAAAATGACTTTGAGGCAGGATTCCCTAATGTGGATGTGCTACCTCGAATTAGAGCCCCAGGAGGCACTGGGGAGTAATTACTTTGAATGGCTGTGGAGAGGATCTATTTCGAAATAGCAGCAGTGGAGCATCCACACTACTGCTATTGCAAAGTAGCTATTTCGGAATAAGCATTATTCCTCGTAGAATGAGATTTACAGATTTCAAAATAAGCCATTCATTATTTCGAAATAATTTCAAAATAACAAAATTGCTGTGTAGATGGTCGCGTTGTTATTTTGAAATAACTGTGCTGGGTAGAAATACCCTCATGGTGTCTAAAATGGGTGACTTTTTTTTTTTTTTGAAGGACTCAAAATTACCAGTCACTTTTTCAAACGTTGGTCTTTGTTGTGTGTGTAAATTGGACCAAAATATCACTAGCTGCTACTTACCTGTATGTATTACTAGCACTGTGAAAAAAGTGGTAGGTTTTATTTGGTTTTTAGTCTCTGTGAAATGGTTTACACTCACCTGTGGCACGACATCTTGAAGAAATGTAACAACACTTTCCATATATGACTGTTCCCTGGAAGAGAAGTGTTTAATTACTATGAGAGTCTAAATAGACATAAAAACATTAATTATTACATAGCACTGGGGAAAAAATGATGACAGCTAGGACTTGGTTTAGATTATCTGCAAACTAATGATTAGCAGTTCATTGGTTGATAACTTTACAGAAAATTCTATTTGTCTACAAGAGTGTTTCTCAACCCGTGGTATGAGTACCCTTAAGAATATTCGAGAGCTGTCTGGGGGATATGCCCACACAACTGAAATTTGGAGAAAACTGAATTTTTGTGTTAAGTTGTACAGCACTTTATTATTTTTGTACTTTTTACACCCAAAAATGTCATCGCCTGCCCGGTTACGATTAAGTTGTTTAAACAAATGTGTTGCAGTGGTAGAAAAAAACTGTATGTGCCTGAAAACTGTAGTTTTTTTTTTTTTTTAAAGAGGGTTTTTTTTAAGAGGTACTTTATTAAAAAAAAAAAAGGTTGAGAAACACTGATCTACAAGATCATTAAAATATAATTCATGTTTATGTATAACAGTCTTTACAGGGTGGTAATGTCTTCATTTCATAAATGTGTGCTGATGCTTTCCAAAGTATAACTTTAATGAGTAAACCAAGCCAGCATGCTTTGGAAATGTTTTGTTCAGTGTATGCGCACTAAGCCTCTTGAAACAAAATTAAGCAATGGAGAATAGACAGGATGCTGAAGGCTAAGAACTTCTGAGAGAATTTCTTCTTTGATGTGATTATTTTTAAAAAAGCTTTGAAACTTCAACAACTGGTTAATTAAAAATTAATTAGATGTATGTCTCAAGCTAGCTTCTCTGCTGTATAGATTTCTCTGTTTTTTGTGGATTGTTAAAATGTTCTGCTACTTTTTGATAACTAGTAATTCAAAATGAGGACAGGATGTTCAGATTTGAAGCAAGCTACCCAAAGAATTCAGTTCTGAGATAAAAGTGAGTGATGTACCTATATTTGAGATGTGAACAATGGGAAAACATAACCTGAAAAATAAATTACCACACAAAAAGCACATAAATAAGAAAAGTGCTACAAAAATATCTGATTCATTACTGTTTTGCCAGAGCACAAGCTCACTCCAAAGAACAGAACTGCATTTGCCAAAATGCAAAATTTCTTCCACAAGCTTCTCTTCCTTTCCATGGAAGCTTAGGTTGCAAAGACCCCCGTTGCTTATGCAACTCAAGAGTTACAGGAACAGCTGCATTTTATTTACTCCTGCTACAATCAAGTGAATCCTGAGATCTAAATAGACAGCCATCCCCATCATTGCCACTGTTCATGTTTTGTCAGCTTTTATAAATAAAATACAAGTTGCCCAAACACACACGACACATCAATGCAATGCCATAGCATAAAAAATATTCAGCAGCATAATGCCACCACTGAGAAAAATTCACCTATTTTGCTACTAAGGTTATTATGACAGGCAAAGGCAAGACTACAAAAGTTTCCTAGTGATTAATTGAGAATGTCCACTATACCATACCTTCACATGTCAATGGGGAAACTTACGGGCTGTGTCTACATTGGCGCGATCTTGCGCCAAAGCGCCCGCTTTTGCGCAAAAACATGCTGTCTACACTGGCGGGGAGTTCTTGCGAAAGAACACTCACGTTCTAATGTGTGAAATCAGTGCTTCTTGCGCAAGAACTATGATGCTCCCATTCAGGAATAAGCCCTCTTGTGCAACTGTTCTTGCGCAAGAGGCCAGTGTAGACAGGAAACATGAATTTCTTGCACAAGGCCATCGGAGCTTTCTTGCAACATAAGAACATAAGAACAGCATACTGGGTCAGACCAAAGGTCCATCTAGCCCAGTATCCTGTCTGCCGACAGTGGCCAGCACCAGGTGCCCCAGAAAGGGTGGACCGAAGACAATGATCAAGCGATTTGTCTCCTGCCATCCCTCTCCAGCCTCTGACAAACAGAGGCCAAGGACACCATTTTATCCCCTGGCTAATAGCCTTTTATGGACCTAACCTCCATGACATTATCTAGCTTCTCTTTAAACTCTATTATAGTCCTAGCCTTCACAGCCTCCTCTGGCAAGAGAGCGTATACACTGGCACGGATGCTCTTGCGCAAAGGTACATGCCAGTGTAGGCGCTCTCTTGCGCAAATACTTTAACGCAAGAACTCTTGTGTTAAAGAGTATTTGCGCAAGATCATACCAATGTATGCATAGCCACGGAGACTTGGCAAAGGCAGGAAAGTCTATTACGTGTGATGTTTTGGAGGGACATGTGTAAGTAACTACATAGGATTTTTTAACCTTCACTTTGTCTCCTCTGTTCTCCTGAATGAGTACACTGAAATCCACAACAGGATCTTTATATCATTCAATATAATAAAGCAGAAAGAGACAGCAGTAGAAAAAAAGTCTACAAATGCACAAGTTTAAGTCTAAGCACAAGTTTGTTAACATTTAGTTATATTCAGCATAGAGTTTGTTTAGCAAGCACAAAATGTTTTGCAATCTTTCCTTGTTTATTTAAAAAGTGTTCTAACATCTACCCTGTAACTTGTAAGGCGAACATTTTGGCCTACCAATCTCATATGTATCCCTTTCAAAGAAAATGATTGGTGTGTATAATCTTGTAAATCTGGAGAGATTTAGTTTGTTTTGCTGGAAAATACTGAGCTCGATAAAACTGTGCTGTTTGTGACAGGAAGTTGCTGCTTTTTTGAGGGGACCTCATTAGTGCTATGCACTTGTTGTAAAGGAACATACAAGAGATTTTAAACAAAGGTAACAGGATATCATCTAAAACATGCTTACGTGACAGCCTGTGGACGAACCACAACTCCCCCAGTACATCGGCTAGGGCGGCGAGGAGATTCTGTTGCCATCGTTGCTCTGCAGATACCTATGGCATTAGATTTTTTTTAAATAAAATATTTCCCAATAAATGATTATGCATGTCACTAAATTTCTCTAGGATGACTAAGTTCTTCAGAAGAAGGAAGCATTCCCTCTGATACATCTAAATCACTATGCCTACCTGTGATACTTTTTAAATAACTCTCTGCCTTGGTCAATCTACACTTGGGGGTTGGGGGGGGAGTAAGGAGAAAAAATCTTGCATGATAAACTTGAGTTTTATTCCGAGAAACTATGTATTATGTAAACTGCACACATTACCAACATCTTAGGAAAATACATAACTACAAATGTTATCTATATCTATACATATTAACTTCATTATCTTGAGACACTCACTGTGAAGAATACACACAAATTACAGAAACAACTTTTAATCCCATTAAATATGCTCTTGGGAAATAAGACATTCAGTAAGTAATCACAGTGGAGGGGGCTAAAACAAATACATAAGATGTCATGGACAATTCAGATCAGTTCTACTGGGTAGACATACACAACAGATTAATCCACAGGGCAAAAGGCATGGATCAGAAACCAATAATTATGACAGGTCCTAACCATGGCCCACAACAACTTCTACCATCCAATTTGCAATCAAGTTTAAAAAAAAAAACCACAGTAGGATCCAGATCACTGCAACCACATTACCCAAGGTAACAGTCATTATTTAGTGTTGCAAAAATGTGTATCATCTTTTATACAGAAACTAAACACTTGAGATGAGATCCTGATACTACTGACTGCAGTGGGGTCAGGATTTCATCTATGCTCCAAGAATTTTATGATTTCACCCACTTGTGAGTCCCAAATCGCCACCCAATGACTAAGGCGCACCAGACCAGTACCATTTGTCTTCCTCCTCCTTACTCAGGTGCCTAATTTTTCCCTGTCTCTCCCCTCTATCGTATCCCCCCCTCTCTCCTCATCCCCTTCCCAAACCCTTCCCCTTGTTCCCCTAAGCCCCCCCTATCCAAGAATTTTATGATTTCACCCACTTGTGAGTCCCAAATCGCCACCCAATGACTAAGGCGCACCAGACCAGTACCATTTGTCTTCCTCCTCCTTACTCAGGTGCCTAATTTTTCCCTGTCTCTCCCCTCTATCGTATCCCCCCCTCTCTCCTCATCCCCTTCCCAAACCCTTCCCCTTGTTCCCCTAAGCCCCCCCTACTCCTGACACCCCTCCCCCT